TATTTTTCCAGTACCATCATCTCGAAAGTTTCGAAGGTACAATAAACTGCTAGAAACAGAAATCGGATGATCTCTTGAGGAATCTGGTGAAGCTATGAGGAAATAACAAGACGTCTTGGGTTAAAATAAGGTTAACGTGGATTTATTGTCAAAACTGACTGCCGATTCAAACCTCAACCACCTTTCCGAGGATCCTTACTGTACAACTGTGGAAATGGTTGTTCAGTGGATGGCAAATTTAATGAGCATTTGAAGTGGTTCGTTGCTTTGCATTTGGCTAGTAATCCATCAAATTCTTTTAGGGAAACAAAATTCAGACAAAGAAGAACTGGTAATCTATATGAAGGTTTTACCCATTCGAGGATCTTTAATTATTTCATAAAGTACGGGCCCCTGGTACGGAAGAAAATTAGCCGTGTTCACGTTACTCAAGAATGGAATTACACAGCGTCCAAGCAAAGGCTTGGCAACAAATACCGTGGTAGCCGTCATGTTGCAAGAATGATGATGTCTCTGTCTTGTCAAGAATCCCTCTTGGGTATATTCTTCATCGTGACGCTCTATTTGTTGTCTCTACAATGCGAGGGAGCTATGTTTTCGTGAGTCTTTAAAATCAGTGAATACACTGAAAACATTGAATATTATCCGTAACCACATTTCACACCCTCGTACACGTCGTCCTAATGGGGATTGATACTACCATATCATTTAAGTTTGCAGCAGAACATTCTGTTCAGAATTTTCATTCGTTTGGTTTCACCTCGTTTGCATTAGTCAAAGCGTGCGTTACGAATCGATGCTGATAATTACTCGGGAATAAAGCAAAAAAGAACCCGGTCTAATCACCTTTTCTTCCCTTATTAAGTGACAGATAAATTCCGAGAGGTTGCTTTCAAGCGACTACCTTCTGGAACATCTGCTAAACAATTCTCGCACCAGGCTATAGGTGTCAGTCAATGATTGCAACAAAGAAATTGTGCGGTGAATTTATCCATAATTCCGACTACAGTCGTCAGAAACGCAGCGCAGTTCTGAGCCTGTACTCTTGAACGGGTCATGCACCATAAGGTGTTACTATGATAGTGCTTCCTTTAAACTTGACAAATGTCTTGTTACTTCTAGTACTTGTGCTCGACAAGCCCGATTTTATCTAAGTTCCACTAGGAAATCAGTTATCCTCATCTCTTGGTTAAAATAAATTGGCATGTCAATAGAGCTTTTTAATTTTATCGCATTTTTCCAATCAGTGGAGTTTTGGCCGTGCTTAACTGATAGTAGAACTTAGCATAAAGTCATTTTAACCAAGTTGTCCCAATGAAGAAAAAAACTTTTACTTGAGAGTAATCGTTTTCTAGTTACGAAAGTCCCAGCAGCTGTGCAAGTCCGGAGAGTCAAGGCTCAGACTTTAGACATTCAGAGAGATATTTCATTCATGAATCATGAATTGCCTAGCGGTCAAAGATACCGTGCGATACCGTGCGATCGTGAATGTGCATTATGGGTGACGACCTCACCTAATAGAGTTTTTTTGAAGGGTGTGCCTTTGAAGAGTTTGGTTACAGGGGCTAGAGCCTCCAGAAGTGTTATTTTCGAGAATGGAACAAGTGTTGGCCTTAGATAAAAGTGATTCACGGTGAACAACCTCCATACCAATTGAAGTCATTCAGTAATGTACAAGAGCACCTCACGAATGCTCATGTTTATTAAGCATATTCTAGAAATCAGTACACAATGCATAAGCAAACTAAGAAAAAAACATAAATTTGATCATCTTAAACTGACGGCGTTAAACTGTGTGCACATCCACACCAAAACATACAAAACTTGGAATTTTCTGTTCTCCGGTTTCTCAAATGAAATTCAACACAAAGAAAAAAAATGAAAAATTGCGGCTATTAAGTTACATAATACCGCAGTTATCCACCTTCCCACAAGTTCTTTTTAAGCTTGCCTTTGACTAACTTTTTGGAGACTGACGAGGAAGTGACTTTTACTGAAAGCATGAATGGTTTGCTCAGTGCAAGCATTATGCTGTAATTTGGCATTAAAGCTCATATTCACGTCGCTGTCGTCCTCAAGATTGTACCAATTTTATCTGCCCGCTTTGCTTCTTGTCAAACAACGTTTGCCATACTAGAATTTGCTGCTTAAAAATCATTGCCAACCCAAAGTAACAAGCCTCTGATTACAAGAAAACGTAACAGATGACATTTGCTTTGGTCCCTCATGCCCGGCTGTGTTCACCAAATAGAGCGTTACCAAACTTGAAGTACTGCACTAAGTAGTGGATTGGTTATTGCATTACGTATATACATGTATCGCGATATCTCGAATACCGTATTAACTAAAGCATAAGGCGACCTGGTGTAGCATATTCAGTTGCCTACAAACATCATCAGCGAGAGATGCAGCTGAGGTCTAGGTTAGTCTCTCACAAAACCGAATTTGTTTGCAAATGGGTGGGCATATATGTCAGCATATATTTCCGCCCACAATGACAATCATCTTGTATTTCCTGCGAAAAATTTATACCATATCTGTTTGGATCAATCATTCCAAGTGCTCCCCTTTTCTCACCGCATCCTCAGGATAATAGCCTAAAGAATGCGCGGAATTTGCGGTTGTTCTTCTTATGAATATCTACAGGCCTTTGTGCAAGAATATAACTAGCTACCTCATTCATATTTCTGGAATATCCGAGTTTATATCCATCGGCAGAAATGGTTGGTTATATAGTTCTTTATACAGCAGGCAGGTTAACGTACTCTTCTTTAACCCCACTCGCCATATGCAAATATATGATCTGATGTCTGAGGATTTCTATGAACTTTTTGAAGGCGCGTGTGTCCTATCTTCTTTTGAATGTCGGCAGGCGTCTGTCCAAAAAAACATAAATTTGATCATCTTAAACTGACGGCGTTAAACTGTGTGCACATCCACACCAAAACATACAAAACTTGGAATTTTCTGTTCTCCGGTTTCTCAAATGAAATTCAACACAAAGAAAAAAAATGAAAAATTGCGGCTATTAAGTTACATAATACCGCAGTTATCCACCTTCCCACAAGTTCTTTTTAAGCTTGCCTTTGACTACCTTTTTGGAGACTGACGAGGAAGTGACTTTTACTGAAAGCATGAATGGTTTGCTCAGTGCAAGCATTATGCTGTAATTTGGCATTAAAGCTCATATTCACGTCGCTGTCGTCCTCAAGATTGTACCAATTTTATCTGCCCGCTTTGCTTCTTGTCAAACAACGTTTGCCATACTAGAATTTGCTGCTTAAAAATCATTGCCAACCCAAAGTAACAAGCCTCTGATTACAAGAAAACGTAACAGATGACATTTGCTTTGGTCCCTCATGCCCGGCTGTGTTCACCAAATAGAGCGTTACCAAACTTGAAGTACTGCACTAAGTAGTGGATTGGTTATTGCATTACGTATATACATGTATCGCGATATCTCGAATACCGTATTAACTAAAGCATAAGGCGACCTGGTGTAGCATATTCAGTTGCCTACAAACATCATCAGCGAGAGATGCAGCTGAGGTCTAGGTTAGTCTCTCACAAAACCGAATTTGTTTGCAAATGGGTGGGCATATATGTCAGCATATATTTCCGCCCACAATGACAATCATCTTGTATTTCCTGCGAAAAATTTATACCATATCTGTTTGGATCAATCATTCCAAGTGCTCCCCTTTTCTCACCGCATCCTCAGGATAATAGCCTAAAGAATGCGCGGAATTTGCTGTTGTTCTTCTTATGAATATCTACAGGCCTTTGTGCAAGAATATAACTAGCTACCTCATTCATATTTCTGGAATATCCGAGTTTATATCCATCGGCAGAAATGGTTGGTTATATAGTTCTTTATACAGCAGGCAGGTTAACGTACTCTTCTTTAACCCCACTCGCCATATGCAAATATATGATCTGATGTCTGAGGATTTCTATGAACTTTTTGAAGGCGCGTGTGTCCTATCTTCTTTTGAATGTCGGCAGGCGTCTGTCCTTTCTTTATGGTCTGACTATCGTGAACGCTGTTCGAGGTCCTCGGGTAGATGGTTTTAGCTCGGTAAAAACCGTACATTATCTTCCCTTAAGGGTTCATATAAGCCGAAGTGACTTTAAGATTAAACTGCTTCGGACCCAAAAGGCAAAGGAATTTACGAATGGTAGTGGGCTATCCTGCTAGAGAACACGGACGAAGGGTATGATGCTTGCTTCAAACATTTGCGTTATTCCACAGAAAAAGTGAAAAATGTTGACGACCATGTCGCTGCTTCAAATAATTTGATGTATTTCTTCAGTCAGGCCGAAGACATGCCCCTTCTGAGTGCTTAAGTTTCACTGCCACTCATTCTAGACTTCATTCTTTAGTGCGCACACCCACTCGTCGTAGACTATTGGAGTTTCTTCATTATACCGTACGATGTGATGTATTTTTGCTCATATTTCATACTGTATGTTTATTAGGAAAACTTTGCACTAACATGGTCCTAGTTAACAGAAAATTGAGGGGAGCACTAATGTTCTGAATAAAAATGAATAATACCGTTTTATTGGCATATAAAATCAACGAAAACCAATTGAGTCCGAGTTTCTGAGTCATACTATCTTCAATCCATTTTCTTCGTCTGCGGATTAATGCACTTTAATCATTTTGATGAATGATAACGACAGATTTTTCGGTTGTGTGTGTCTCTGTTTGACAGGTCAGCAGTAGAGGCTGAGATGACGGAAGTTCTACTTATGCATGAACAACAGTAGGATGGCGATTCGCAAAGGTGTGTAATGGTCACATTCTTTACGAACATGGAAACTATTCAGTTTCAAAATCGCACATGCGCCTTGATTGGGTTTTGAACGCAGCCCATACTGGCTTTTATTTTATCAGGAATTGACGCGTTCGTTGCGCAGCACAAGTGAAAACGCTTGAAGTAACCGAGGAACGTTCTAACGTTTCCTTGGGATAGTTATGTTATTTTGGAACTTACCGATCAGCAACGCTACCCGGTCGAATATTGGCAATCATTGGTGGTTCACGATTTTCCGCCCCATCAGCAACCGTAATTCCTAAATTTGATTCGTCTCCTTTCAGTAATTCAACAGTTAACCGACCAAACAGGGGAGTACCTAAAATGAAAACAAAACGATGTCGAGAATGGCTTAGAAATGCATGATGATATCTCAAGTCTTAAAACTCACCCACCACATTTCTACTGTTTTTACTTTTTAATTGCAGCCCAATATAGGAACTCTTTCTTATGATGTCATCGAATGACTATATCTAAAACAACTACATCTACAACATCTACAACAACTACATCCGCAACAACATTTTCCCTGAATAGAAAAACTAAGATCCTCCAGTTTTTCCACCACACGAATAACCTTGAAAAACGGATGTGATGTTTACGTATATTGTCTCTCGTTGCTTTATGCAAATCCGTCCCTCGTTAACTTCGGTAATCCGAAACAGAAATAAATTTGTCTAAGCGCAGATGGTAGTTGAAATCAGAATAACTTCCGAGACTGCATAAAATTAGGAATATCGAGTCACATGTCGGAAACTGGAAATGTGTAATACCAAATCACAACAAACTCAAAGTAAAAATGCTTCCACTGTTAAGGTAAGATAAGTTGAGCTGTCAACTTTACATGCTCTGAATTCATAGTACAAGAAACTAGGTTTTCTCTGTTAGGTTATAGCTCAGATTGTAAAAGATCGAAGATGAACAGTACGCCAAATCACATGGACTTATTATCAGAGGAAAGCGATATTTAGAAATGACAAATATTCTCTCGTTAGGGGATTTTATCCTGCAAATGAACCCAGTCTATTGTGAAAAGCCACGGAACACTGGACAGCTGTTTCGCACGAATTGGAAATAATCACCAATGTGAACCTTACGAATCTCCCATTAAGTGTTTAATGTACTGACCGAGAGTTCACGAGTTCGATACCCCCTGGAGTTTCGTGGGATACACCCTGCTATTTAATCCAATAAATCCAATAGATGGCTCTACAGTGGCTATCGGCCTTTCAGCATAGATGGTTTCACCTGCAGGGAGAAATCACCGGTAAAATTTCCGAATCTCCTTGCACTAGCAAATATCCATTTGCCGAAATTCGACTAGAATATAGCGCAGTTCAATGACTTTTCGCAGCAAGTTTCACACAATTGTGGATTCTTTATAAAGGAATCAGTAATTGTGGAACCAAGCATAGGCATACGTCCGCAAACAGTTGGTCAGTCGAAGCGAAACCTGACCTACCTTTTGAATGCAAAACAACCACCAAGTTGAAGCACATACGGATAACTTCATGCGCAAAAAATGCTCGTCTTAAGTCCTCAGCCCAAATCACGAGGTCGCAGTATCAGCAGGGTTTCCGTGCACTCGGAATAACGCAAATGGATCGACAATGAATTCCGCTAGAACACCTAAAGTGTCATTTAGTAGGATGTATCAAATGGGGATTCAGTGCTGAAGTGGTTTAGGTGTCACTTCAACAGGCTAACAAAAACTGACCACAAAAGTGTGGGTACCCAAGAAATCAGGTCATAGATATTTCGAAGACACCTCAATCCCAGTAGCCAGAAAACTGAGTAGATATAGGGTAAAAATCTTCACGATTTCTCTGCTCACCGTACGACAAGTTTTACTGCCACATTTTCAGTTAATTGATTGAAATCAGATGACGGCAAACCACATATCTGTTGTGACGGCCGCGTGTGACGGCAGGCAGATGAGCTGTGTGTGGAGCGAGAAGTTGCAATCTCTATGTGGGCGACTGTTTCTTCAAGCATTCATGGTCTACAGACATTTGCCCATAATATATTTACTAATTAAGAGGTTCCTTGTGTGGTACGGTGTTGGGCCTCTTTAGTTTGGAACACTGCAGTGGTTATTTATCTTGGAAAATAAAGAAATGGGAGCAGATGACTAAATATCAGTGGACAGACCACAATTTGTAGAAGGAACCAACCCGGGATTCATAATATACATATATATGTATTTTAGCTGGCCTCAGTGCATTCCGTATTGTAGAAACGAATACATAAAGGTAATTTAAGGTGAACGGACAAATCAAAGCAGAAGCAGCAGTCATTAAACCAATATTATTGCATTATTCACTTCGACAGAAACGCCAAAACACGCAGTGCGATTAGAAATGTTCAAGTCCATTGCTATTTTGATGCCACTGGACTAATACAGATATCTACGGTTTTGAAACAAGCTAATAATTCAACTACTTCCCACCACTGACATTTTACACTGAATTAAATACCAGGAACGAACATATCTTTTGATTTTCCTCGTGACTGAAGGGTCGAAAGCAGTAAAGATCTGTTCCAGTCAATTGGGGCCAAACAAACTGGAATGTGTTATTTATTTTAGTGTTTATTTTTTGGTTCATTCCAGGCAAGCTGCTGGATTTTTCAACCAATGACTTGTGCTTTTGCAGTATGTTTCCAATTTGCTGTAAGTAAATAATCAGGTATGGCAGTTAATCTGTCCTTTGTGTTGCTTTAAGTTCGATAAGAAATTGTGTGCTATAGCCTAATTAGGGACAGCTTAGGTCTTCGGGCATTAGGAAGAATACTGCCCTTTACATTCGGTTGCAATGTTCAAACTAGCATCAACAAAAGTAGCAACGACAGCTGCCGACCTACAAAGCATTGGGACACCAATACCCAAAATATCCGTCTCGTAAAGTGGACTACCAGTATCCCCTTCTAAATGAAGGCGGTTTCCTTCTGTCAAATAATTGTCAACCTAACCAGCAAATTAATTATCCACGTAAACGTCACTTCGACTAGCTGGCTAAATGTTTATACTCATGTTCGTATTTTATTGAAGCAGTCTGAACGCGCTTTTCTCTCTGAGTCTTATTTGACTAAAATCATCATGCTATAGTGGCTATTCGATGACTGCCTGATGGATGTCTATGTTCACATTACTCACCGACCTCAATTTACGTCTTAATGTGTGGTGTAGGGATCCGCATGTATAAACCAGATGGATGGTTTATCCGTCCTTTGAAAGAAATTTTTCAACCCAATATACTAAGACAATGGCAAAAGTCTCCGACTAAAGACAGTCGACTCTCGACTTGCGCTTAGCATTCTGTAACACTATTTGGTCGGGAAAACGGTCGCTTTCCTCCACACGTACCGCGTGATTGCATTTATCATTAGCTGGTTTACCAGAGGTTGTTACTCCTGAAAAACAGCGAACCAACTAAATAGCCAGTTCACCAAAATTCACCAGATTAAGTTGATATCTGAGGCTTGACCCAATACAAAAAATGGAACAGTTGGCAAAATATTTCTTACTAAAGCTGGAATTTTGTCAAACAAAGAATAACCGTGAAAAAATCTCCTGAAGGGATTTAAGGGACTTTATTCAACATTGGTAATACCAGTGTCAATGCTATTATTGAATATCAATCCGTGGAACGTGAGAACAGTCCGAAAACCGAGCGATGAGCACATGCTTATGTGTTTGACAAGCAAGACGGAGTTAATCACTGAGCTCTGTGCCATAGTGTTACCATAAAATAGGCTGTAGGTAAGCTTACCTTCAGAATACGGAAAAGTCCCGAAGCACATCAGCAAAGTGAAATTTTTGTTCATGATTCTGTTTCTTAGCTTGTTTGCTGTGAAATTTCACGACACAACGAGCGATTAGCGAACACAGTTTGGAGGCCCGCCGTACGAAAGTATTCCCCAGAATGCATCAAAAACAGCCATCCTTATTCATAATTACCGTAAATTTCAGACAATAATCCCAAATTTAACAGCACCACAAGGCTCTATCGCATCAGGCTTTTAAAGAGATCTGCTTTACTTTACAAGGACTCGTGACCTTTTATTTTCACCGGAACGTGTGAGTTGAAATTACTTTTATTCAGTTCGATATTTATCTGCACAAATATTCAACTTATAAACCGTTTGAAAAAACGTGCCACATTCCAAACTTTTACAAAACTAAACTGACCAGCGTCACAATTTTGTGACATTTCACTTTAAATTCTTCGAAACAACCCATTTCTACTGTCACTTACTAATCGATATGATCACGGTTGGCATTTATTCCAAACATCAGTTCGCTTAGGGACTAAATCTCGATGGATTTTGATGCAATTTCGCATTACCAAGGGTAAAGAATTTAGAAAAAAAACACTTGATGCTGTTTTGATTTGATCTTGCGATCACTGGGAAAAATATTGATTATGACCTATCGTGCGAACGAGATAATCAATTTTTCTGGGTATAAAAGCCTCCGTTTGTTTTTAAAGTTGAAGCAGCCCCCCTGGCTAATCAAAAATATCACGCTATTAGTAAATGGTACGATCGACCAAATGTCATTACCAAATTGATATGCGGAAAAGCATCCCTTAAACAGATGAGATACTAGATTTACTTACAGTTTATTTTCTGCCCTGCATGGACCTCTTTTATGCAACTCATCCATGTCAGCTTGCTCTCTAACAGGTTGATTTTATTGTGCACCTTATAAACACAAATATGTTGTTTAATTGGCTGCTTACAGCAAAATGATTTATCAAGGAGTTTTTGGTTAATTTCGAGTACAAAACTGAGAAGCAGTCTGCCGTATCAGAATGGCGGAGACAATTTCTTTTCATATGGTATCTGTTAGTCGGTCGCTATAATTTCCCCTTTTCTTCTATGAACCAGATTGCTACTCCTTGATCCTGAAAAGCTCGACTGAACGATCGAAACTTTAAAAGTCTGTAGACCTTCTCTACATATCATATTTTTAGCTCGCTTGATGGGTACTCTGTTGTATCAGCATATTGCACACCTGCAGCAACTCTACTACAACGCGTTTACACCTTCCTGAGTATCTCAGTTATCAAACAACCAAACAGCGACAAAAATAAATATGGAGACAGCCATCAGTCGATGTTTATGAATGCTACTTCAAAATGCATATTTGTTTTTGAATCTGCAGCAGCTTTTTTGGCTTTGTGACGGAAAATTGGGGACAGTCGCAGAATACTTCAAAATAGAAATAACACTTTTACGGTTTACATTTTCACGGGACCGAATTTCGTACCAGTAGTGAGGACTAATTGAATGGCATTTGTATCCAAGTCGCTTTGT